ATCTAATAATTAACAAAATAATAATTAATAAATTATATTATAGATTTATATACGACATTTTTTTAAAAATTTAAATTTAATTAAGATTTTCTTTTTTTAAAATATTTTTTTATTAAAAAAATATATAATAAAATCTTTGAATTTTATATTAGTATACAACTGTTAGATAATTTAGCTCTTAATAATAAAATAGATCTTAATTTTAAAAAAACTGATCATTTGATACTAATTTTATAAATTATTTGTTTAAATCAATCATAAATTAATTATAATTATTTTTTACTTACAGTTTTATATAATTTCAAATTTTAAATTAAATCTTTTAAATTATTTATTAGTCTACAACTGTTAGCACTTAATTTAATTAATTTATATTTTTGAATAATACTTACAAAAACATTAAGTAAATAATTATAGTAATAAACTGTAATTTATGCAATTTATGTATTTTAAAATTTATTAATTATAATAAAACTCATATTTTTTTTATATAATTATTGTTTACTTAAACATTAATTAAATAATTAATAAACTGTAATACTAACAATTTATGTATTATAGACTTTATTAATTATAATCAAATTTAAAATTTTAGTTTAACATCGAGCAATATTTTTTATATAATAGTTAATATTAGTTACAATTATTTTGCATTAATATTGTATATAGTTATTATACTTTAATATTACGAATAATTTAGTTAATATTTAATAATAATAATAAAAAAATTAAAGTAAAATTTAAATTTATAATTTTTTTTAAAAAAATAAATATATGTCATTTTGTTATATTAATTGTTAAATTTAATAAACAATTTATTTTATAAAATTATAATTATTGCTAATTTTTAAAAAAAAAAACTTTAAATCAATTTGATGTTTTTATTTTATTTTCCAAAAGCTTAGATACTAAAGCTACCTTTTTGATTTTTTAAAATGTACTAGTGTAAATGTACTTTTAAAAAGTTATACATTTTTATTTAAAAAAATTAATTCTATTAAAAAACTGTAATATTTAACAAACAATATATTATTGATATTAATAATTATTATATAATTATAATTTCAGTAAAATAAAAACCATCGTAATTTATGCTATAATTTTTTACAAGTAATAAATAAATAAATATTATTTATATTATAATAATACACACATAAATAATTTTTATTTCAACTAAACTAATTATTTTTATATAAAAAAAAAATCAATAAATATATATTAAAAACATATATTTAATTTCATACATACCTTAAAATAACAGCCAGTGATGAATAGTCTGCTGACAACTAATTGAGTCATTTGATGTATTTTTTTTAATGAACGGTTGGTTTGTAGAGACAGTTATTTTTTTGGACACACCTATCAATGCTTGTAATAACAACTAAACTAAATGTCAATAAAAAATCAATGGCTTTCAGGTTTGATATACTTGTAAGTGTTTGTTAAAAATAATAATGTTTAATACTATTAGTAATACAATAGTTTATTATTATTTATAAATTTTTAATAAAAACTATATTTAAATGTTTTACCATGTCAATTAATAATAATACAAAAATACAAAAATAATTTTAACTTTAAATAAATTTAATATTATTAATTTGTATTATTATTTTTTTTAATAATATTATTATTATAAATAAAAATAACAATGTAGTAACATTGAATTAAAATAATATTAGTAATTTTAGTTTAAACAATTAATATAATTTTCTTAATAAACTGTAACTTAATAAGTTTGTTAAAAATATTAACTTTAATTAGTTAATTAAAGTTAAAGTTTAGATTTGACGGAGAAACAATTAATAAAATTTTTAAATTTAACTACATTTTTTTTATAAAAAAAAACATTTAAACAACTTTTGAAAATTATATTAGTTTACAACTGTTAGATAAGTTAGCTAGCTTTTAATATATATATATTTTTAAATATACCTTACTTAAACATAAAATAAATAATTATATTAATAAACTTAATAGAAGTTGAGTATTTATTTTATATAATTATAAAAATAACTAAAATAATATTAAATATATATACAAATAATTAGTAACCATTATTTTACACTAATATTTTATAATACTATTGTATGAAATATATTGATAATTTAGTTAATATTTATTATTAATTGTAAAATTGTTTTAAAATTAAATCAAATTGTCCAAATAATATCTAACAGTTTTGTCTTTTTTTATAAAAAATAAAATTAAAATTAATAACTTTTTAAAAAAAATATGTTATTAAATAAAATTTAATATTGATTATCAAACTTATTCAATTTGAATAAATAATTTATTTTTCATAATTAATATTTAGAATTAATATTTATATCTACAGTTTATTTCAATTAGTTAAAATTTTAAAAAATTAATTATATTAAAAAACTGTAACATTAAACAATTAATATTATACTAAAAATATATTTACTAATTATTTTTATAAATTTATAAAAAACTGTATATTTTATTTAAATAATTAAAATAATTATTAATCATTTAATTTACTATAAATTAGAGAAATATCGCTAATTATGTATTTTTGCTAAATATAAATATAAATATTTAATATAAAGTAATTAACATTTATTAATATAAATTTAAATTATTATTTTTAAAAAATATATTATTTAATAAAATGTAATTTTTTGATGTCAAAAATATTCAACTTTAATAGATAATTATCATAAATAATATTAATATAATTCTACCATTTTAAAAATATATATATATATAATTGTTATGTTTAATTTTGTTAAATTGCTTATTAAATTTAATACACAATTAATTATTTACTAATTTAATTTTTGCTTTTTATTTTATTTTAGTTCAAAAATGTTTAGATAATTTTAACTACCTACTGAATATTTAAAATTTTGATTAGCTAAATTTTTTTTACTTAAATTATATTTTTTTTAAAAAAACTGTAATATTTAACAATTAATATATTATAGACTTTACTAATTATAATATAATTCTAACTTTAGGAAGGAATTTCGATATCTTTTTTTACAATTAATAATAATAATAACTAATTATATACAAATAAATTTGTTTCAACTTAACTAATTAATTTTATAACAAAAAAAAATATATAAATATAATGATAAAATATATTTAAACCCTATAGTTTCATACATAGATTTACAAAACATGTTATGTTTAATTAAGTTAAATTGTTTGTTAGATTTAATTGCATAAATTATTATTTACTATTTTTATTATTGCTATTTAAAAAATCAAATTAATTTTTATTTTATTTAAGTATACAAATGTGCAAATCTTTTAAATTTTATAAAATAATGTTTTCAATTAATTAAATTAAAAAAATAAATAAATAAATTTAAAAAACTGTAACATATTAACAACAAACGCATTATAGATTTAGTTATATAAAAATGTTTGTTTTTTTAAATAATAAATTATTTAAAATATATTAGTTGGGAAAGTTGAAACCTTATTAAAAATCTACTATTAATAATTGATTATAATGTTTAGATAATTTTTTTTATACTAAAAATATTTAGTATAAAAAAATTTTATATTCAAATATTGGGAGATATTTTTTAGAAACAATCAATTGTCTTTTTAATTTCAACCATAGTATTAAATAAATAATATGTTTGTTTTTATTGAGAAAAATTGTTTTTTATATACTCTCCATCTAATATTTTACTAAAATTATATATTCACTAATTATTTTTTTTTGTTTAATTTTGTTAAATTTAATACACAATTTATTTTTTACTATAATATAGTATTATAAATATAAATAGTGAACTGAATGTGAGATATTGTACCCATACTTAAAATTATTAGCTAATTAATAAAAATAATTATCTGTATACTGGGTCAATTAATATTGGAAATTAATAACTATATTTAATAAATAAATGCAATTTTACTAAAATTACAGTTTTAGTAATTTATTTTAATATAAAAAACTCAACTACATATAAATATATAAATTATTAATATATATTTATATATTATCAAATTTAATAATAATTATTATAGAGTACATGTTAAATTGGTTAATTAACTTTTAATATAATTTTATTTTAAAGTATTTTCAAAAAATAGTATACTAAAAATTTATTCACTAATTATTTTTTTTATTTATAAAAAAACTGTATATTGTATGTAAATAATTTAATTAATTATTAAACATTTATTTTTCTATGATTTTTAGGAATTAGAAACTGTCAATATATTTGCTAAATATAAATTTATATTTTATTTAATAACTAGACATCAAATTTGTTTTATTAAACTTTTATTTTTAATCATTCAAAAAAAACCCTAAACTAAATATATATGACATAGACTAAATATTAATTTTATGATATATCTGGCCATAAATTTATTAGTTTTTATTTAATAATACATTATAACTATTAATATAAATAAATATTTAATTTATTATAGTTTAAATAAAATTATTATTAATCTCTTTCAATCAATCAATTTATTTTATAATTAAATTTTACGTATTTTACATTAAAATTTTGAATATTTATATAAAAAAATAATAATATAGATTTATTAATAAACTGTAATTTAATAAATTTATAAAAAAATATTTATTTTAATTATAATATTATAATAGATATTTTAGAATATAAGGGATACCATTTATCATATAAAAATTGAATAACAATTTTTTTTATAAAAAATTTATTACTTTAATTATTTTTTGATAATAATAATAATAATAACAAATTTATTTTATAATATATTATTATTATTAGAGTAATTATTTTATATATGTTATTTTATAATTATAATTTTGATAAACTAATAGATACATTAGTATAATAATATTTATTTTTTAAGCAACAATACTGTCCAATAATATTGTTAACTAATAATTATTATACAAAACATTGTAAAATATTATATTTAATTATTATAATCTTAACATTTTAATATGAAAAAAATACTGTATATATTAAAATTTAATTACTAATAATGTGCTGTTTAATCGTAATAAAAATACAATTATTATATAATTATATATTTAATTAAATTAAATTAAATATTAATTTTATGATATCCCTGACCATTCACTGAATAACGATAGTGTGTATACTGTCGGGCCATTAGAAAACATTGTACACAAACAACGGTAACCAGTATTACGGCTAACAGTGCCAACAGGTTAAGCAAATGTGGTAATACTGTCATCATATAATTGAGGACAAAATCACGATAATCGGCATCAAATTGTTGGGCATCCTGTTGTGTCATTAACATGAGTTGGTCACCCTGTTGTTGTTGTTGTTGTTCAACAATATCATGTTTTGCCGGGAATATTAGGGAAATTTCTTCCTGCTGAAATTCAACATTTATAACGTTATTTGATGGTTGATCATCATTAGCTAAATCAGCTTGGTTATTTTGTTGTTGTTGTTGTTGCTGAAATTTAGCTAGGTCCATATTGTTATTGTTTGATTTACGTGTACAATTTTTGCTATGGTAGCGTGCTTGACCGCATGCTACATTTTCGGCCCATTTTTCTAGCTAGATAAATTCAATAATAATAATAAAAAAAATAAATAAATAATTAAAATATATATTTAATATAGTGTTATAAAATATAATAAAAAAATAGTTATACATAAAAATACTGTATAAAATATTGACAATTAATTTTGATTTTAATTTTTTTTTAAATATAAAATCTAAAGTGAAATATTTGTTTTATCAATATTTTTATCATTAGTTAATAATAATAATTATTATTATTAGTTAAAAAATATTATTATAATTATTAGTTTAAAAAAATATTAATATTAGTTAACAATTATTATTATTAGTTATTAACTTATGAAACAATTGATTATTATTTTATTAATTATTATTTATTTTATTTATTTTTATTTAATAAAATGTCGAAACTTGTTATTAATATTATAATTATATTTTTGTAATAATAATAATAATAATTAAAAATAAAATAAAACTATACCTGAGCAAAATAATTATCCAAAAGCACGCGCTCATGTTTCGGGCAGCGGACACGTGCAACTTGATCCAGACAATCAATATCATCCCAAGTGGCGCAACAAACATTACGTACCGGTGGCCGGGAATGTTGGGTAATATTCCAGTTATACCAGGCTACTTGGCGACACCCGACCCTAACTACTAGATTCAATGAACCGAAACAATCCAAAGCTAACGGGTCGGGCATCGGCTGAGCGGGTAGATTGTCGTCCATTTCGATCTCCAGTTCCATACCTAATCCGGTATCCATTTTGGGATTAGGATTATCTCTATCCATATCCATGTCATCATCGTTAGCATCGTTATCATCATCGGCTATATAGCTGTCATCATCTATAGCAGCACCGGTACTATCGACTGTTTGTTTCAGATTATTATCTAATTGTTGTTTTTGTTGGGCCAACGATCGGATCATTGGCATCAAACAGTGTTGTCCGCCGCGCGGATAATCCCGACACGTGTTTGTATTGTAAAATTCAATTAAATCATCGAAATAGCCAATGGTTTGCGTATATTGTTTACCAGGTTTGCAGTTTGACTTTTTTTTATAAAAAAATTAATTAATTAATTAAAATATAGACAAAATTAATTAATTAATTAAAATATAGACAAAAATAATTAATTAAAATATAAACAAAATTAATTAATTAAAATATAAACAAAAATAAATTGATTTAATTAAACAAAATATATAAAAATATAATATTTTTAAAAAATAATATATTATATCCAATTATTTTTTATTATTAATCAATAATAATAATTATTATTATTAGATAATTTATGCTCATATATATTTTGTTTTGCAATTTGACTTTTAGCAAGATTATTTTTTAAAAAAAATTAATTAAAATATTTATATAAGCTTATTGCGTTGTTTGCCTAAAAACTAATTATTATACACTTACTCAATAGTTAAAATTAATAAATAAATTATTAATTACAGTTAGTTATAATGTTTTTTTTTAATTTACCAACTTCTAACTGTAAATTAATATTTATGATATGTTTATAATATTATTTTTACTTTAATTAGTATTTTATTTTAACATTAAAAAACATTTAATAAAATAAAAATTATTATTAAATAAATTTATATATTTAAAAAAAACTATTTTAGATATATTTAATTTGTATAACATTTTTTAAAAAATATATTATTTCTATTAGTTTTATTTAGTAATTAAATAATTTATTATATTTAGTAATGTGTTGTTTTAACATTTAAAAATAAATCATTTATAACTTATATTAACTATTTATATTTTAACTATGTCTCTACTACTATACCTTTAATAAATATCATTATTAATATTAGTAGTTATAGTATCATAATAGTAATAATATAGTTAGTTATTATCATTATAACATTTATTTTTATATATAAATAATTTATGCTTTTTAAATATGATTATATATAATTTTATAACATATATTTAAAAAAATAATTTATATAATTAATTTTATTATTATAAATTATTATTAAAAATTATTAGATTAATAAACTGTAATATTATAATAAAATAATTTTTTAAACTAATAATAAATTTTAGTTTACAATCTAATAGATTAATTGATAATTTTTTAAAACAAAATTAGAAAAAAATTATTAAAATTATTAATAATAATATTTTTGATTTTTTAAACAAAATAAAAACTAAACTAATTTTATTTTTAATTAATTAATCAAAAAATTAGAAAAAAAATTATTAATAATAATATTTTTGATTTTTTAAACAAAATAGAAACTAAACTAATTTTATTTTTAATTAATTAATACAAAAATAAAATAAATAAAAATCATATACCTTGGCTACTATATCGAGATCGCATTCAATATTATCCCATTGAGCACAACATACATCAGCCAGTGATGAATAGTCGGTTATATTCCAGTTTCTGAGCGATCCTTTCCGGCAACGGATCAGCTCCTGAGTCAACGGATTCAGACACTGACGGGTCAACTGACTGGGAACGGGTGGTGCAGACAGTTGTTGTTGTTTTGGTTGTTTGGTTACACCATTCAAATTAGCAGAGAAGCGCTGACTGATGTCCAATCCATGACCAGCCCTAACACCCAGTCCTATGTCAGCTATGATAATGACTGATAGTATTGTTATTAATAGTATTTGATTCATTGTTTTTTTTGTGTTTGTATTATGAAAATAATAATTAATTAATTATTTTTTTGTTTGAAAAAATAATAATAGAAAAAAACAAACAATTTATTAAACAATTTATTTTAACAGTTAATTATATTTTTTTTATATAAAAAAACAATAACTATTATTACTAATATCTAAATTATTGCCACAATAACTAGTAATCATTCAATAATAATAATACTAATAATAATACATAACTATACAGTAATGGCTACACAAAAAAAATATTTAATATTATTAATACAAAGTTTTATTTGATATAATTATTATTATTATCACAGTTATAGTTAGTTAACAGTATAATAGAAAATGCGTTGCAATTAATTGAAACTAATAATAATAATAATAATATCATAAAAATTATTTTGTTATAATTTATTTTTATAGATAATATCCATAGTTATCCATATAGTATTTAGTAACTAATATTATATTGTATTGTATAATAATTTCAATGTTTTTAGATATAATTAATTCAAACAAAAATATAATATCGTATTTAATATCTACAGTATTATTATTATTATTTGTAATTAAAATATATTAGTAATGATTTAATTTAGTTTTAATTAATTTTTACAGATACAGAAACAACAAAATAATAATTTTCTTATTATATTAAATATATTATTATTATTAAAAAAAATAAAAATATTTGTTGTTGTCATGCATTTATAGCAATGCCATATATACATTGCTGACTGATTAATCATTAAGACAATAGCTAAAAATTATTATTATTATTATTATTTATATATTTATTTATAAGTTATTAATAATAATAATAATAATAATAATAATTTATGACAATAACAAAATACATGTACACTATCAGTATATGAGTCGTATAATTAAATATTATTAATTATAAACAATATATTATTTACCTATACTAAATAACCGCTAATAATGTTTTAATAATAATTTAATTAAAAACAATGATTTAACATTTTATTATTTTTTATAAAATAAAACTAGTAAAACTAAAGTTGTACTAGGATAAAAATAAATAATTATTATACAATTAACTATTTTTGAATTTTTTTTATATAATTACAGTTTTATTTATAAAAAAAAATTATATAACAATTTATTAAATATTAAAATGTTTTACTGATAACAAAATAATAATTAATTGATTATTATCTGAATAATATCTGAAAAATGTACATGTTGATTTTTTAAAATAACAATTAGTAATCATTTATTTTTATTATATAATCTAATTTTTTTTAAAGAAAAAACACCATGGGCAAATAACCAATTGTAATTATTATCAAATCATATTATTATTAAATAATAATAATAATGTAAAATAACAATACAAAAAATTTTAGTATAAAACTAGACATGTTTACTGCATTAAAAATAATAAATTAATAGCTTAACTAAATTGAACTAGTTGAATAATTATTTTTAAAAAAATAATTTTTAATATTTTAACATATTTTCAACAACAACAGCAAAAATGTACAAAATATTTATATTAGTTATATTGTTGCCAACTATTGCCAGATTGCAGGCCGAGGAGGACAGTGGTATCGACACTACAATCACTACTACTACTACTACTACAACTACTACTGATAGTAGTAATAGTAGTGTATATCCGACTCCCGGTGCCGATGCCCTGAAATGTTTGGACAAACTGGAAATGGATCAGTCCTATCAACAATGTCATCACGATAGTGTACAACAATGGGACCGGGATCATAGGGGACAGGTAGTCAATGCCAGTCAATCGACATGTTGTTCCGTTTATGGCCAAATTGATTGTGTCAAAACTATACTACTAGCAAATAATACAGTAAAGTTAGTGTGTAGTAACATAACTGAGCTAGATGCATTGATCAAATATCAATCAGATTTGTTGGACTATTGGACAGGTAGCCAACTGTGCCAACTGGTTGGGTATAATAGCTCATTATGCCAGTCATCGGGTGCTATGATGATGATGATGACTACCACCTATAGTCTAGTACTACTAGTATTGGTTAGTCTACTTACAGTAGTCTATACACAGTTATAAATTAAGTTTATAATTATAATAATTAATTATTAAGTTTTAAAAAATTTTTACATAATTTTTTAAATGTTTTTTAAATTATTTTTATTATCGTATTATAATATTAATAATACATTAACTAAATTAAAATTATTAATTAGTATGGTAAAATTATAAATAATTATTATTTTAGAAATTTAGAAATTAAATAATGTATAAGTAAAATAAAATGTTTTAAATTTTTTTTATATATTTAAAATAAATAAAAATATATTTTTTAAATATTTAATAATAAATTTATTTCATTATTATATACATATTGAAAATTAAATACTAAATAATTTTTATGTTAAATAACTTGTATATAAATAATAATAAAAAAATATTAATAACGATCTAAATACCAGTATATACTGTATATAACTTTATATTTAAAAAAAATTAAATATTATAAGTTATGACTGTATATTTCAAAAATATATATAATATAAGAAACTTATATTTATATAATAAAGTTAATATTAATAATTGAATTTTTCTTACAGTTTAATTGCTATTATTATTATTATTATTAATCTAATTTTTTGTTTATAAAAATATGATAAATATAAAAACACAATTTATTATTAAAAAATTACTACATTTTAAAAGTTTACACATAAACTAACTATTTTAAACAAATAAAATAAAAGTTTAAATAAATTTCTACTTTTTTTATATAATTGTCATATAATTAGTTAAGTGTTAACAATTTTTCAACATGTACATTTATCTAATATAACAAAAAAAACAAATTTAAAAAGTATTAATTAAAAAATAATTTAAATTTAGATTATGTTTTAATTAATTATAATATATTTTTTAAAAATAAATTGATTAATAAAAATTATTATTGTTTTTCAATAACTATTGTTTTATATTTAATTATATAATTTTTGTAGAGAAATATATTTATGATTATTACTATTTAAAAATGTTAACAATAATATTTAATTGTTACAATTAAATAAATAATTATTATATTAAAAAATAAAAAATAAAGTTTTGAAAGTGCTATTATAAGATAATTTATTATTTAAAAAATACTAAAATAATATTATTAATATTTGTATACAGTTTTAATTTAAATTATTATTATTTTTTTAAAAATATCTTTAATTAAAAATATAATTTTTTAGAAATACAAGATTAGATTTATAGTAATATTAGTTATTCTTAAATTTGTATTTATTTATTTTCTGAAATTGATAATTAAATATATTTTTTTTGTTATAATTTTCTAATAATATATGTCAAAAAATTAAATATCAATTACTATGTTTATTAAATGTTTTATTTTTTTGTAACAATCAAAAACAACAATAATAAAAATAACAATATATTTGGCTTTTAATTGTGTTGACAAAAATGTTGACCTAAATGTCAACAACAACAACACCAACAAAAATAATAATAAATTAAACAAATATTAAACTTTTCACTTTTATTTTAAATATAAATTTTTTGTCTGAAACTAATAAAAAAAAATTTTCATAACATAAACTACAGTTTTTTTTTAAATTACTTTTTTATATTAAACTATTTCTAAAAAAAATATCTTTAAAATTATGACAAACAATATTATAATTGAATTAAATTTAATTTTACTACTATTAGTATTAAATAGCCTAAACATCTACCAGTGCTACGATCAGCCACAGCCCACACATCACGCGCTCATATGTCTGACACGTGTCTACCGATCGGACAGTTTTGTCCGATGCGGTCAACAAGTGGGCCATAAATGGCGTCTACAGGTAGTCGACGATAATAACGATACTAATGATGACAACAATGATAATACCAATGATGACGAGGACAGTGATGTTAGTCTCAATTTACGTCAAAAATGTTGTTCAGTGTATGACTTGTGGTACAGTTGTATCGTACGACTGGCCAAACAACACGAGTACTGTACTGACCAACAGTCTAGGGATGTCTGGGATGTTATGAACCGTACCATTGAATTGGCCGACAATAATGAGTGCATTCAATATAAACCATTAGCTGATAATTGTTTAAACTTTTTATTTTAAGAAAATAAGTTTTTTTTTAATATAACACTAATAATACATAATTTTTCTTGTTTATATTATATTTTTAATATTTTTAAATAAAATATTTTTTGTGTAAATTATTATAATTATTTTATTTAATATTTACTATAAAATAATTGATATATTTTTTAATGAAACTTAACATTAATAGTGAAAAATTTTGATTTTATTATCTAATATTATAGTAATTAAAACATTATATTTATGATAATAATTTTGATTATTTAAAAGTTTATTATAATATTATTATTTTACTCAATTATTAAAAAACATATGAACTTAAAGTATAAAATGATTTATAAAAATAAAATTTATAAAAAAAAATGTTTTTTATATTATAATAAAAAAATACAAATATATATATATATATTTAATTTGGGTTATAATTAATTAATTGTGTAAAATATTATTATTTTATATATATAACAAAAATATATTATTAAAATATTAGTATATTATTAGTATAATTATCAAAAATAATAATAATAATAAACATTTAATTATTAATTATTAATTATTAATTATTAATTATTAATTATTAATTATTAATTATTAATTATTAATTATTAATTATTAATTATTAATTATTAATTATTAATTATTAATTATTAATTATTAATTATTAATTATTAATTATTAATTATTAATTATTAATTATTAATTATTAATTATTATTTAATTTGATATTAATTATTAATTAATTAATTATTATAATTAATTACTTATTACGACAGCGTCGTCTACAAAACAGGGCATAGATGGCACATCCTATTATGGATGCACCCAATAGACTGCCCAACACTATCAGGGTAATTGCCCACCAAGCTAGACCCATACACCTATCCTCTGTCCAATCGGCACAATCACCGTGATCCAGTTCCTCCTTGATATAAAACATAGTCAAATTGCTAACATATCGATCATGCTGGCCCTGACATTGGTCGGACAGGTCCTTTTGGCACCGGTAGTACTGGCGCTGGAAACAACAATGGGATTTATTATCCGATCCCCGATTTCGGTCGATTTCCCAATCGTGTTCGGCATCGGTAACACATTTGACCATTAGGGTAGCATTCGGACAGTAGGGTTCCGATGCCCATACCTGGCCACTGCCACCACCCGTACCACCCGTACCCTGAATTGTTAATATAGCTAACAGTCCTATGATTACGGTAGTTACTAATTTAATCAATTGGTTCATTATTATTATTATTTAATTTTTTGTTGATGTTGTTATAATCGGTGTTTAAATTTGTGTATTACTAGAAATAGATTTGATTTTTAAAAAAATAAAATTAATTATTTAATAATTTATGAAAATATTTATTTAAAAAAATATTGTAATTATTATTTAATTATTATTAGTTTATGTATTTATTTATTTTATTTTTATAAAATTATAAATTTATTTTTTTTGACATTTTCAGCTTTAACTATTTAATTATATAAAATACTGTAATTTTGTTATTAATATACTATAAATATTTTTAAAAATATAATTAAATTTTTTAGCTTTAGTTTATAAGTATTTTATTTTTTTAATTAAAAAAATTACTAATAAAATAAATGAGTCATTATTTTCTATGTTTTTTTTTATTTCCTAAAATTAAATCTAATTAAATAATTATAAATTAAATGTAAAACTAAAATAATTTATTAATAATAACACGTGTTTTGTTTAGTAATAGTAAATTATGAAAAACTTTTATAATAACCGGAAATTAGTGTAACATTTATTATTAGTTATATTAATTTATTTTACAAAATGTTATATTTTTATAAGTATATAGGAAATGGGTGTGATATATGTTTATATAACTGTGATATACTGTATATTGAAAATAAATATTTAAATAAAAATAACATAAAAATAAAACAATACCTGTTTATTATATTGCAGTAATAATAATAATAATAATATAGTTGACATACAAAAAAAAAATTAAAACACAAAAATAGTTTTTTTCAAACACAAAAAATAATAATAATACAAATTAACTAATAATAATAATAATTAAAGTAAAATGATAATAATCACAATACAAAAAACAAATCAAATCACTAGTAATATAAAAATATTATCAACAAATTAATATATAAAAAAATTAACTCAATATTTAGGGCACTTAAACAAATAGATAGTAATAATAATATAATAAAATTTTATACACTATTTTTGTAAAAAAAATAAAATTAAATTAACTATTGTAATAGTGATAGTAATATATTGTATTGTTTGATTGATTTATACAATTGTGATAAAAAACACTATGGTAATTTTTGTTGTTTTAAAAAAATAAAATTAAACTAGAAAATTATTAATATATTAATTTTTTAATGATATTATTTTTTTTAACAGTAAAAACGTTGTAAATATTATGATATCATTAAAAACAATTTTATTATCACAATATATATATATATAAATAAATATAAAACTAAAAATTCAAATATTATTATTAAAACTAAATAATATTTAATTAAATTTTAATATATATAAAACAATATTTGCTATTTTATTATATACAGTGCAATAATTTTTTTAATTTATTTTTATTTTCTTATATATCTATATAAACAGTATTATTAAATATATAAGACGTGTGATTCATAAAATATTATATATTTAATGAAATATAATATATATATATATAATAACTATATTATTATTATTATTATTATTACTAAACTTTATAATTTTTAATCAGTAAAATATAGTTGACTAATAAATACAATGATACTATTATTATTTCATATATAAGTTTTATTTTATAATGTATAATACAGTATATATATAATATATTATACTGTATATAAAGATATGGGAATACATACATACATACATACATTGCTATCAATTTTATTTTTATTTGATATTTGTTTTTGAAGCAAATATTTTTCATGTTTTGTGTTGATATGTTATATATATATATATATATATATATATATATATATATATATATATATAAGTATATACTGTATATTATTTAAAGTATTATATCAGTAAATATAAAGTATATATATAATATATATGTTGTAATTAATATGATTTATATCTATCTCTATGTAAACTATAAATACCGAAACCCTTGACAACGGTTACACTATTGATATAAAATAAAATAAATTTATTATATTTATTGTACTTAAAAAAAAACTTAGAAAAACTAGAATTATTATAAATTAATTATAAAAGTAATGAACAAAAATATCTAAATATATATAAAAAATATTTTTTTTTAATTATTTTAAGTTTTTTATTTCATAATTTATTTACAGTATATTTTTTTAATTAAAAGTTTTTTTTTGTTTATATTGTATATAATTTTATTAATTATAAACAATATAAAAAAAATTCTATATAAATATTTTAGTAAAATTGTAAAATTAAGTTTTTTTCATATTTTTAATTTAACATTTTAATAGTTTACTATAATTATAGAAACATTATTTTCATACATTATTTCATTTTAAAATATAGAAAATTTTTGTTTTAATAATAAGTAATATTAATAATTTATACAAAATTTTTTGTTTTTAATAAAAATAAATATTTTATTATTATTATTATAATAGTAAGTAGCTTAACATAATTTGTATATTTTTGTTTTTAACAATAACATAAATATTTATATTATATTGTTTATAGTAGTACTGTAAATAGTTATATTAATAAATTATATCCTTAATTATAATTTTTATAGATTTTAATTAATTAAAATTATTTTATTTTAAACAATAATTATTATTTTATTTCAGTTAATTATAATTAATAATTTATTTTAATTTATTATTATTAATTATTTTATATTAAATAATACTTATTATTTTATTTTAAATAATAATTATTATTTTATTTAAAATAATTTTTATTATATTTTAAATAATTATTATTATATTGTAAATAATTAATTATTTGTATTATTTTATTTATTTTAATTAATTATTATTATTTTATTTCAATTAATTAATATTAATTATTAATTTAATTTTAAATATTTAAATTTTTTTCGGCTAAAATCTAGCCGAATAACAGGCAAAATCATTGAGAAAAATCATTTTTTCTTTATTATCATCGGTTAGGATATCGATATTTTTCACTACTTTATCCAAACCTTCCATCAAATCGGTTTCATATTGTAAAACATATTGATTTTTATTTCTAATCGTCGTATATGTCAGTTGTCGGAAACAATCGGTAAATTCATGCAATCGATTGTCGTATTCAATGCCTTTCAACGACTGTCGATAGTTGTCGAGACATTCCCGCCGTAAACCCATGGCTTTGAATTTGATTTTCATTTTAGCATCAAAATCAATGGTCCCGTAATTACGTAATTCGTGTTTCATTTCCCGTTTGAAATAATCTAATTGTTTTTGATAGGCATTTCGGGCCCTTTCCCGCTCATAGGTTGTAGACATTATATATGATAACTGGGTATTAAAAAAACTAAAAAAAAATGTAAAATAAATATATTATTTTAGTATAATAGAAATTAAAAATATTAATAATAGAAATTAATTTTATATTAACTTTGATTAATAATTTATAGTTATATTTACATTATATATATATATATCATATATAACTGTATGAAACTATTTAAAAAATATTTTATTAAATTAAATTATTTTTTGTTGTAAAATAAATATATTATTTTAGTATAATAGAAATTAAAACTAATAATAATAATAATAGAAATTAATTTTATATTAACTTTGATTAATAATTTATAGTTATATTTATATAATATATATATAAATAATATATTTGACAACAGGGTTTTTTTTGAAACAAACAAACATTATTTTTTAAGTATAATAATAATAAAAAAATTAAATCTAATAAAATATTAATTAATTAATTTGAAATAATCTTTACGCTAAACTTCTCTATGTAATAAATACCTTAATATTTTATTATTAATAAACTTATTATAGATTATTAATTAACAGTTTTACATATAACCAAAAAATAAATAAATCACATATACTAAATATTATTGTAAACAAATTTTAGTACAAATAAATTATATATATATATAAATATTAATTTAATTATATATAGTATATATATATATGCACTTAAACATACATATAAACAAACAAACACGTGTATATATATATATACTAATAATTATATTACTATATAATAATTGTGATGATGATAAAAAATAAAATTAAAAATTTTCACTCACAAAATAAAAACACGTTTAATATACTGTTGAAGCGTTATTAAAGTATTACACTAGTAGTTAGTAATAATACACTATGTTTTATGAATATATAATTTTTTATTTTGTGTATTTCATATCTAAACTTTTAAAAAAAATACTATGAATTTTGAAAAATAAAACCCAAAAATAACTTGTGATGTGTATGTGTCGTAAACTATGATGATTTGCATATATATACAGAATATATGATATATATATATATAAGTTTATACCTCCCTGTGCTCCGAGTATGTGCTGATGTAGTACTTGTAAGGGTTAGGGCGACAAAAATAGCCCATTCCTTACCCTATGATAGACATACAGTAAATATATATATATATATATAACACTGACATCAATAGTAGTATTTATATATCTATTTAAATATAATATATAATATTTTGTTGCGTTAATGAAATCCAACAAAAAAATAAAAATTATTGGTATTTGAAGAAAATGTGTGTTTATTTTTATAACAAAATAAAATGCGAAATAATGTTTATATATATTTATTTATCCATATAATTGCCAAAAAATTATTATTTTTTTTGATAACTTAAACCCATTGACACTAATACTATGAGTAGATTATATTGAATTTTTATTTTTGATGATTATTTTTTTTGGCATAAATTTAGCTGAAAATACAGTAAATAAACTTTTATTTTTTATTTTAATATTTAAACTTAAACTCTATTAAATTATTAATTGAAAGTTTAAATAATAAATATTAGATAACAAATATTTAATATATTATAGTTTTTTATATCATAGTTAAAACACAATGTTTTAAATACAAAAAACTGTATAAAAATTAATGTTTTTAGTTTTTTTTATATAAAATTTATTAAACATTATAATAAATATTTTACTAGAAATTTATTAAAACAGTTAATTGTTTTTTATTATTAAAAAAATTAAAAACAAAAATTACTAAAATACTAGAAACTGTTTACTAGTGATGATGATGTTGTTGTTTATGTAGGGTTGCCAACTAAAAATAGCATTTTTTTTTTAAATTTTTGTTTAAAATTTAATTTTCACTAACAATTATATAAACAATTTTTTTTGACAAATTTATATATATATATTGTAACGTCCTGCGTCGCTACTTCGACGTAAGGGTGAATCGGCTTTAAGTCGCCAGTGTCGTAGGCACCATGTAGATCTCGCACCGACCTGTATTTGTAATATTCGCTCGCTTTCGCTCGCCAGCGCTATGCAGACTTTACGACTCTGCATCTTACGATTCCCCAACGCTGCACTAGGTCACCCTGCGGTGGCTACTCTACGACGCCGTAGCCTGACCGTGGCCGATCCTAACCATACCCATGAAGTACGTAACGTTAACTCGTCTACTCGGATTGTCGTCTATGAAGTTTGTCTGTCTAGGGGTTAATCGCATCGCGAAGTTATACGTTGTCTAGGGGTTGTTGTATCGCGTAGTCATAAGTTGTCTAGGGGTTCTCGACGGCCATCCGATAACCGCCTTCCGGTCGCTCCCGATGTGGCGATGGTATTACACTGTCGGCCCTTTGGCATGATCTGGTAGAGACCTCATCTCGAGCCTCAACCGTCTGGCGACGGGAAGCGAGACGATGCCAGTGGTCTCGACTACCTACCAAATGAAGATCAGATATTCTCTAGCCTCGACCGAACGACTCGGGAGGCGAGACTCTGTCTCAGTAAACAAATCTTACCCGATCTCTGTCCCACACTTACGCGACTACCGTCGCCG